TTAATGTTTTAAAATGGATTTCTAAAACAAAAAAACTCTTAAAGCATGTTTAAAAATAAAATTAAAAACTTATTTATGACACTACAGTAAATTAAACGCTACGAAGGAACAAAAATCTATTTTAGCAATTTGGCATGCTTGAAATTGATTTTAGATCAATGGTTTCTGCGGCAAATTTTCTTAGAAATTCACCTAGAATACTTATATGCCACACGCGCATAGTCAAAAATATCTCACATACAAATTGAGCCGCCCTAATATATATGTATGTATAAGATAATTGCATTAGCATTTAAACAACGTAGTAAATATTGGGATAACAAATTACGAAAGCACATAACTGAACTTAACGGTATTTTTGAATATAGACTGCAAGGGACTTGTTACCCAAATGTTAAAAATAACAAAACATTAATAGTTACATACGAATACTTAAAGAAAATAAATAAAACAAAAACATACGTAAATCCACGAAATTAAGGAAATGCATAAATATAATATTCAAAATGTTATTAAATACATTCGACTGTTCCATTACAAAAAACAAAAAAAAAACGAAATATAACTAACTGGGGGCATTCACAGCGAGCGCGTTAGCGAAATTTGAGCATTCACATACTTTTAGTGCAATGAAAAAAACAGCATAAAAATTGAAATATTTAGTTGAAACCAAAAAATTGGTTTTTTATCCTGTTTTTTTTATAGGTATATTTTTTATTAATCTTTACTTTTAATATTCAGCTAGCTGCTGTGTATGCCCTTATCCATAAAGATCTAGATACATACATGTTAAACTCTTCGGAAATAAATCACATAGTGCATTCTTTTCATAATCAGGATTTTAATTTAATTTTCTTGAACTAACAGGGCAATTCTCGCTAAGATATTTGAAGGTCTCTTGTAAGACGATTTAAGGACAGTAGGCAAGATAGTTTGAAATATTCTCTTTATTCTGGCACAAAAGTCTTCCAAAAAAAGCTCCCTTGCCAACTTTCATGGTGAAAAGCTTTTTACAGAAAGCAATTTCATATTTTGCTCGCGCTCCTCCAACTTCCGGAATGGCCGAGTGAAAAATGCATTGGCGTGCCATTCGAGAGCTCCGAGGTCGAGTCCCCGGGCAGATGAATTTTTTTCTGTTTCAATTAAATTTTATTTCTTTTTTTAAATTTAATCTTCTTTTAATTAAAATATATAGCTGTTTTAAAAAGAAAAATATATGAATATTTTTTAGTCTTTAGAAAATTATTTTATTTCCTTATTTTTATGTATTTTTCCTTTTTTTATTTAATTTTTTGATTTTATTGTCTTAAATCTTTTTAACCTTTAATCTCATTTAATTATTAGAAACTTTAATTTTATTCTTCTTTTTTCATATTTTTTTTTGTTTAAATTTAATATTAAGGTTTTATTGTTTTGAGACAATTTTTTTTGATGTTTATGGCCTTTTAACAATTATATTCAACTATTTTATTGAGCTTAAGGCCGTTTTTTTTCAAATGAATAATGTTGTGAAAAGAAAAGTTTATATACTCTTTTGTTAAGCTTTTAGGAAATCTTAACTTTTTTTAATAAAAATTGTTTAGGTTGGTTTTAGTTCAGTTTTACACTTTTTAATTAAATTTTCCTTTCGTTTTGAAATAATTTAATTTTTAGAACATATTTTATTTAAATTTTCTTTTAATTATTAGATTATATTATACTGAAAAGAAAAATACAAGAATATTTTTTAATTTTTAGACAATTTAATTTTTTCAATAAAATTTTTTATTTTCTTTAGTTAAAATTTTTTATTTTTTTTAAATTGCATTATTTCAAAGAGAAAAATATATATTTCTTTAATTTTATTTACTTTACATGAATTTATTTTAGATGTTTTTCGTTTTTAGTTTTATTTGTTTTAATTTTCAATTAATTTTTTTTATAGTTTTAATTTTTATTCCTTTAAAAAGAATTTTTTAAATTTAATTTGTAGGAAATTTACTGCTAAAGGAAAAACAGAAAACCGCTAAGCCCCTCGTTAGCAGATCTTTCAGATAGTCTTTCGAAAAGACTGTGGTGAGCTGAAAGACAGTTGCCAGAATTTCCCTGTTATTTAGTTTCAATTTATGTATAATATTAACCGACTTCAAAAAAGGAGATTATCAGTTCGTCTGAGTATTTTTTTTGTTTGTATTTATGTTACCGTTATGGTCCCATACTACTTTGGTTTAGATCCGACCATTGGATCATGAAGAAATCAACGATAATCTTTTGCTTAAAAATTACTTGTTTTATTTCACACTATTTGATTTTGTATTTGTATTCTTCTGAGCAATTTTTTACATCCGGTTTTACCAGCAGTTTAAATGGAAAATGATTTTTTATTATCTGCCAATTTCCATATAAAATTTAATAAAGTCAAATAATTTTTCACTTAAATTGCTTTCGTGAAATTGGCTGTTAATCTGTTTTACTTAATTTTTATAATGCATTTTATCGTGCATAATTTTCTTATACTTTTTGTTTTGATTATTATTATTTCATTATAGGTAATTTGTTTTGTTTTGCTGCACTTATTCCTATTTCTGTTTAGATTTAGCTTTATTTTACTACATATCGCACACCCTCTTCAAAAGAGGCACAACTCAAAAACCAGATCAGGACACATAACTGCTTTTCTAGTAAGAGAATATAATCATGAACAAAAATTATTTGCATTAATTGGAGACACATCCTACGAATTGATTTATACAAAAAAAAAATCTATCTAATTTTTTTTTGAGTTTGGCCTCTTGTGAAGATGGTGTGCGATATATTCAATTTTTGGTTTTTTATGTATGTATATGCATATTATTACCTGTACTACTTTTATACATTTTCTCGTTTTGTTGCGTACTAATCTTTTTATTATTTTATTGTTTTTTTTCTATTTCCTATTTGGTTTTATTTTATTTTATTGATTTGTTAGTAAATAAATTACGCAACTTGTATGCAATTAATTTAAACAAAAATTGTTTATATGAGCGTATATGTATTGTATTAATTGTATGAACTCCAGACAAATAATAATCACTTGTTAGTGCATTTTTTAATATTAAGAGATTTATTCGAATTAAAAAAATGTTTAGTCATATGTTATATTTGTTTAAACAAAATAATCAAGAAATATAATTAAAATAATATATACTTAGATTTAAAATTTATTTAATGGTGGTTCAAATTCAAAAAAGGTAATATTT